CATCAGAATGAAGTGAAATACTTCCTTTAAGAAGTACATATTGCCCTAGATCCTAGCAGTAAGGTGGGTGCCTGCACATTTGCTGCTGCTATAGCAAAATATGCCACTGGTTCTTTCAGATACTCCTCAAGTGAGATCCTATGAAGGGAGGAAAGCAAGTTCCTCTTTAGTCTCTGCATCTTTTTTCCTCATTACTTTAACTTTTCCTTTACCCACTCTAAAGGACCCAGGGAACCCTTTTGGCCAGACATCACAGGGGTTTCTCCTGATTCTGACTTTCCATTGTTTAGCTTGACCCCAGCACCCCTTCTGAAACATCGTTCCTACTCTGTAGGTCAAGCCTGTTTCAAGAGATAAGAACTTCTGTTGGACTATTAAAATGTATCTGGTTGAATGGCTCTCCTTAGGAAAACACAAAAAGTCCAGTTGACCTGTATTATTGCCTGTCTTCGCTATTTTTTCTATACTGCTATCTGAAGGTTCCCCAGGGCAGATTTAGGACTGAAGCCTAAATTAAGGCTGAAAAACGTCAGGTCTAATGCTACCCTACTAGACCTCACAACATCCTCTTAAACTCTGATTTCTAGACTCACAGATGGTCTTTTTCAGAACTCTTCACTCAATCAGTTCTTATTTCAACTTGTTTTTTATTAATATTAGGTTAATTTTTTAAGGAGATTTTTATCCTTTTCCTTTATGACTGCAGAAATAATTCCCAATAATGATGGGGTAAAATCACCCAGAAAAGAACCTCTCCAACTTTGAGCAGAAGTACCAAGAGACAAAGCATTTCTTCTCCTGTGATTTTAGCAATTTAGATTTAGAAGCACGGTCCAAGTAGACAAAAGAACTGAAATCTTGAACACTACTCCAAAATTTATTCAGAGCTGTAGCGTTAAAGAGGCTTTTAGACACTGCATGTAATCTTGTCAGAGTTAATTAAATCAAAACAAAAAATGATGGGAAATCTTCCCCGTTAATGTGCAAAAAGCTCTTGTTAGTGCTTTATTATTCACGAGGCTTGCACCTCCATTCTTTGTCTGTGACTCTGTTACCACAGAGCATAAATTATTAACGTTAAGCCACACGTTCTGGGAGAAAGAAGGCGTCTTTAGTAGGGACAATTTTCAATCGTGTTAAATTGACACTCAAGTTCTTTGACAAGCAGGAGCTGCCCTACTGGTTTAGGGCAGCGTTTTGCTCTCCCAACCACAGTCAGTAGCTGACGGCAGAATTTCCTTGCCGTGGACCCAGCTCCGTGGAAGACATACGAAACCTGCCAAAATGCTTCTCCCGGGACAATTTGCCCCGATACCATTTTGGGGGCAGAACGAGCCGGCTGTGCCAGCCAAGCCCAGAGAAGACTCCAGTGCTAGGCACAGCAAACACCTCTGGCCTGTCTGCAGTGCACGGACATGCTTGCCTCACCTGCCTCGAGCCTGTCAAAATCTCTGCCCAAACCTGGGCTGGTACTCAAACAGCTCAGACACGAGGTTGGTTCAAATGCAACCTTAGGCTTAAAATATACTGCAGATCTACCCTTAGGTTCCTCCCCAGCTGCCTGCTCAGGTACCTCCTTCTCTCCTAGACTTTTCCAAACCACTCCATTAGCTAAGACATGAGAGATAACAATAAAGCTGGACAAGGCCTCTAGGGATTAAATTATTAACAGATGACACAGAGAGGATTCCAAATCTCTAACTGGTATTTATGCTCCTGTCTATTATCTTTCTATAAAAAGCCCACAGATTGCATATATATATTTTACACATCTGCACACAACAAGGAAGAGTCAAGCCTCTCACAGCACTTTGGCTTAAGTTACTGCCATTTCACAGGCATTTGGGATGGAATTCAATATACTGTTGCTCTTTGTTCCTTCTTTGCCAAATAATCAATTATGATTTCACTAGGAACTAACAAGCACACACAGGCACGCATGTAATGTGTGCACATCATACAGGGAAGCTAAACAGGACTTTTCTTTCAGTTTGCTTCAGCTTATTGCCCTGCCTCTTGGGACTTCTAATACATTTTTAGAATGTATTGAATTCAAGCAAAGAACACAGGAGAAAAACATGCCTGCGTGATTTCTCCATCCCACTGCTACTATGGTGGCATTCGATAGCATCTCTGCGTTTAAAGGCTGTTTTCTGAATAATCTCCTCCTCCCTCCCTTCAAGGTGAATTTAAATCATGTTGATGCACATATACATTTTATTCACAGGGTACTGGGAGACTTGGGGGTCAGGAGAAAGGGATAAGGAAGAGTTTGATTTGTTTTTTGTTCCCCTTGTTTGAAGCTGTAAGTAGGTCGTTAATGGTTTTTAATTGTGGATTCCATCTTCAGAAGGCAGGAAATTATTTTTCCACCTCCTCCACTCAGCAAAGGCACTGAATATTTTCAGCAAAACAGAATGGATGCAGTGCCTGATTAGATCAATACTGGGCCTGCCTATCACATATCTACAAAGGGAGTGAATGGAGATAGAAGAGTAAGGTTCTGATCCAAAACCAAATTAATCTTGTAAGTTTTGAAGCAGGCCCTCAGAGGACAAATGATGGAAGCATTTAAAAAATACTGGTGCTGGAAAGGAAAGAACAGGGAAGGAAAGAGCAACGAAGAAAAAGCAGAGTGGAGGAACTGAAGCTAGAAGCATCAGGTACTACAGCAGAATATATTATCACCAATTATAACACGATCTACCAAATAAGACTCCGGTTCTTCAAAGATTTCTGCTGTGGGAATAGTTCCTCTGAAGTCATTTAGACTGAACCCTCTCATCTACCACCACCATGAACCTGGAAGTCTCTGTGCTGACTTGTGCTTGGTATCTCCCGGAGCACAAAGTGCAAGGTCTCCCAAGTGTGTGCCAAAGGGTAGCAAACCGTTCACGCATGACTGTGCCTCTGGAAGCTCCTTCTGCAATATTTCTACTAGAAAGTGAGCAGACACTATCAGAGATCCATCAAATTGTAGCAAGTCCGAGCACAACTGGCCAGAATCAAGAGTTACAGAGAAGGAAATGGAGACACTGGGTTAGATTTCCAATTGAGGCACTGAACTGGACTTCAGGAAATTACTCCTCAAGGCCTTGGGTAAATCAGATAACCTTTCCAGCTCTCTAAACATGCCTGAACACAGTTTTTGTATCTATATGACTGTAAAAAGATCAGAGTTAAATTAAGAATCCCCTATTACACCTGCAGACATACAGATTGCATGTTAAAGCATTTTTAATCTGATAGCTTTTTTTGGTTCAAAACAAAAAGCACGCTCTGTTTCAATATAAGCTCTCTGATTTTGTTCACACTGATTTGATTAAGGCAGTGTAAAATCCAAAATTAGACCAAATCTTAGGGAGAATAAAAATCCCTTCCCGTTATATAAACTTGGAAAATAAGGCTGGATGAGACTACAAAAGATCATATACTATATCCCCCTCCACCTCAAAATAGAATCAATTCTACCTAAACCATTCCCTCACAGCTTGTGCACCTACCTACTAAACTGTGTGCAATTAAAGCAATTGAATCCTCTCTTAGCGCAGTGCCTATCAAAATGAAGCCTCAATAGTTTAACCTCAGCTGGAACTCGGCTGCTATTAATAGTTCAATTCCCCTAACAGAGCTTATTTTTAAAAATTGCATATGAAGTAATGGCTCTGATTTTGTAAGTCATCAAAGAACAAGCTTTGCTTTTGATAATCTCTATTTCAAGAAATGCTATAATTTCTTTTTTAACAGGATTTATTTTTTCCACATATTCTGTTACTGATTTGGAATCTTAAAAAGTATTTTAGCTCCTTGGGGAAAAGCTCTGGCTATCCATCTCTTAACTACTAATCTGCTTTTTCTATTAAGACAGTTGAATCTCTACTCCCTCTAACTTGTCAGCTATACTGAAGAGTCATTAATTGATTTTTTTTTTTTTTTAAGTTTTTTTGAAACATCTACAGTAGGCTAAAATCAAGAAAGAAGCCTCCTGAAGAATTCAATTAACTTCTGGCTTGTTTGGTAATAAATAGTGCAGCATTGTATTCTGCCACTCTTTATTCTTGCTCTAGTGTCTGGAGATTGCCCAGATGTTTCATCCTCCGCGCTGTGGAAGGCTTTTGCCTTGGGGCTGGTGCAGCGCTAGCCTCTGCTCTCCTGACTCTAGTTAATCTACATGGCTGTCAGAGTTGTCACATGGATGGTGAATCATGGCCTCTCACTGCAATCGCTTCAGCCCCTGGGGAACGGCTCAGAGCAGACAGCTGCACAAACCCGCACCCAAGCAAAGTTTCCCCTGGATGAGCATTTTACAGATCAGCTTTGAAATAGTCACAAAGCCTGACTGACAGGCCCTTGGTTTTTAAAGAACAGAAATTTGTCAAAAACAAATTGGTTGTCTTTCAAACAGACACCCTGTTTGAGTCTGTCTTCCCCCCCCCCCTTCTCTTTCCTTTGCTGACTTTCCTTCTTCCAAACAACAACTGGATCCGTTTTCTTCTAAACAAACTTGAATTACAAAAGAATGCTGCTCTGCTATACTTAATAGATTTGCACATTTTTCCCTTTCTTCTTTAGTCTTTCCCAGTATAACATATAATCCTTTGCACCTGCAAAAGCTCCACAGACTGCTGACTGCCAAGAATCCACCACGTGACCCTGCTTCCATGACCAGAGATCCTGTGTTTAAAGAGAAAGAAAAATAAAAAGTTATTAAATGTTTGAATCTATCTGATCCCCATGTGAGTTAACTCTGAGGATGGGAACTTAAATGAAAAGCTATTTTTGTGGCATTTTTCAGTGATGTAATAAGTGATTTTTCCCAAGGAACTTGTGTACTCGAACAAGCAGATGGGCTGAGAAAGATGTCTGGAACTGAGGAGGCTTGAAGCAAATTGCTTTCAGGGATTTCATATGTATGTATTTAAGCCTGTGGGCATGCAACTTTGCAAATATTCTGTGAATTTATTTTCTTTTTGGCAGTGCAAAGCAGACCACTGCGAGGGTGGGGTGGGGGGTCATGCAATAACCAGTATCAGTTCAGCCCAGTGGCACCAAACGCCCCCATCTAGAACGAACAGCCCCTGGTTCCATGAGAGAAGAATCCTGTTTGCCCCTCTACACTTTGTAAACCAGCCTCTTCTGCCCCTCTCCCCCCAAAAACCCCATCATTAAAAAATTACTCTTATCACTCCTATTATATTGCAAAGCAGGTGTATCTTTGCTTTTCGCTTGGTGTCATTAGGGACCACATACCCTTTTTCTCTCCACTGCTCCCACACACCATATTCCAATCCATTTAATTCATAACATCATTTAAACACGTACGTCAAAAACCAGTAACACCAACAGTGCCTTCTAAAAACAAGTATTAAGGATCAAGTCAAACATAGTTTGATGAGTCAGATTGGTATCAGCATCAAAGGCCAAGGCATATTGGGATGGAGTTTTTTTTTTTACGCCCGCTACGGTCACCTCGTTCTCTCCTCCTCCACCCACACTTCATCTTCCCCTTTTCTGTCTCCTCAAATGCTTAACCGTGGAAGCTCTCTGGAGTAGGGATTTCCATTTTGTTATGTTAAGAAGAGTGCTTAGCAAAAAAGGACGGGAACTTTGGCTCTTCTGAGCCCTACCGCAGAGAAATCAATAATTCTATTTTATAGCTGTGGCACTATCTCACTTTTTTTAAAGCTGTATTATTTCTATGCTATAAAATATTCTTGAAAGCAACCTGATAGCCACGCTAGGCTGAGATATTGCTCTCAGCCTCCCAACCTGCAATATGACCACAGTCCACTGGGGCACTAGGATTCTTGCTTCCCTCTTTTGCTGACTCTTCATTTAATGCGCTGTCCTTGCGACTCGCGTGTTCCAACTTGGCTGGTGGTTATACTTCAGTCGAATGTTTTAAAAATCAAACTGTTCAAACAACAATGGCCAGCCACAATGTTGTTTGGTATCTTGCCACAGCTAAATAGCTGCAGCTCTGCTTTACGAAAGCACTAAAGGGATTTCAGTGTCTTTAATGCTAGCCATTCTTTTTCCTGGTGTTTTCAGTACGCGTTGCTATTCTGCTGTCACCCGCAGCACAAACTGATTTTCATCTCATAAATAAATAAATAAGGACTTGTAATTCTTCAAACCCTTAAATTGCTTTTCTGGAATAACTTACACTCTTTGGACATCCTGTTTTCTTGCAAGTTGGTCCTGCTGTAGGACATGCGCATTCCATAAGACAAAGAGTGCTATTTTCCAAAACATCTTAGCATTATCAAAGCATAAATCCCATTTTCAAAACCCACTCTCCTAAAACCTCAGGTGCTTAAGAAAACTCAAACTGAAAATCGGGATTTAGAAATTTAACTGCTGGGGCTACTTGATCGAAACAGAGCAACTGCGTTTTTTAATTAAACATTCCTCAAGTACGTATGCATCTACAACTAGACCCTGGAATTCAGAGCAGTTATGCAAAAACCACTATGGAAGATCTGCTGGAGGACTAACAGGAAAGCTAGAACAGTAACGTAGACTTCTACGGCTTTGCCAGAAGCCCAGCCTGGTCTCAGTTAGGTTTACGTTAATGGCATTGCCCAAAGAAGAAGCAAAAGGTCAATCCTATTTGTTGGCATGCAGCTCTGAAATCCAGTTTCTGATAAAACCTGACTTCCTAGTACAGTTCTGTACAAAGAGCCTTTGCCAAGCAAGGCAAACTGATGAATTCCCATCTGTTCAGCTTGCAAACTAACAACAGGTAACTGCAAGAGTCTTGCAAGTATGGAAAATTGTTTAGAAGGGTGGAGTTAGGAACACTTCAATTAAATTAGGCAAAAGGAGAATTGAGGCTGGAGAACAGGAAGAAAATTCCCCAACAGTGAGGTCTATTAAACTGTGGAGCCAGTCTCCCCAGGGAAGAGAGGAAAGCCCTCTCCTTTGAGTCATTTAAAAATAGACTGGAGAAGGCACTCAAGATCGTTCCGTAGGGAATCATCCTGCATTGGCAAGGGCTGGCTGAGATGACCTCATGCATTTCTTTCCATCTCTGATTTTGGTGATTCACCCGGAGTTCCAGACCTGAACATGCGAAGCAGAGAGAAGTGGGGAACAAGTGCAGCAGCCCAGAAGGAGGGGAAACCAAAGGAATGAGCGGCGCAGGGCCAAGAGGACAGGCAAGTCCCTGGCCCATGTTCTTCCTAACCGCACTCGTGCTGCAGGCCAAGCTGATGTGTTGAAGGTCACACATGTTTTCTTTCATAGCCCAAGGACCCACTGATTGACAGGGCTTTACAGTAAGATGGGCTTGTAAGGTCTTTAAAAACATTCCACTTTGTGCTGCACCTAGCACAACACAGAGCAAAGCACAGAAGCTATTACAGGCTTGAAAATACAGGCAACAACCAGTACCTAGTTCCTGAAAAGAAATACATGCAATTATCACTCATCCTCAAAATACTGACTGCGGTGACGTAGTGCCTAAGTCACAGCTCCACTACCCTGATGCTGTACCAGCTCAGAGCAGCTTTCCCTCAGTACATGCTGCCGCTCAGCCCAGGCAGACCTGGGAGAGGTATAAAGCGATGCGCCTGAGGTCACGTGCCAGATTAGTGTCAGAGGCAGGATTAAAGCCCATGTTTCAGGACTCCCCATGCAGAGCCCTAGAACCGGTTAAGCCCACGCAGAGGTGCCTGCATAAGCACTGTAATTACACGGCTTTTTCTACATGTGTCATTTTAGCACGATAGTATAAACAGGGAATTATTAGCAACATAATTGCCCCAATTTGATCAGCCTGGTTCCCTCTCCCCACAAATAGTTCCCACCTGATTATGCTAGGCTTGACCTACAGAAGGCAGCATGAGATAATGAGACTTTTTCTGGGCAATACCCATTCCCACTAGTATTTGCAGCCTAGGAAAGCAAAATGACAGCAAGCACATTACATGAAAGCAGGCCGCCATGCCAAGCCTCTGTCATGTGTATTCTATTAAGCTGAAGGCTGAATAGAAGACTTTGTTTCCCACTTCAAAGGACCCCATCCCAATCTCTCGCTCTTCCCTTATGAATAACAAATTGGAAATAAATCTTCTGGCTGAAGCACACGGAAACTTGTACAGTTGGGGCCCTCTGCAGCTTCCCAGCTCAATCACATGCCTTTTTTTTTTTTTTTTTTTGTAAACACTCATATGTGATCTATATGTAAAACTCGCTGTGCATTGCTGCCCCGTGTAAAGCGATACAGCGGGTGTGTCCTCCAGGGGCTGGACACAGTGGGAAGCCTGAACACAGATTTCCAAGTTTTCACAGGGACAATGTCTGCAGAGAAGAGTCCAAGTTTATATGTAGGTAGAGAAAGAAAAGCAATACTTTCTTTTCCTACTGATCCCATAGGCCACTGTCCTCTATTTCTCATCATAGCCATTATTTAGCTCCTTTAATATGAGAATACAAAAGGACCTGGACACCCCCTTTACTCAGCAAAAGCTACTTTGGAATAGTCTTAGGATGTATTAAAGGCCTTTCACTCTCTAAACAACAAACAAAAAAAGAAAAGATTATCTCCTTTAAATACGGGAAGAATTTTATGGTGCCTGCAAAAGCGCGGCACTGACGAGGCTTCACATATGTTGAGGACAGCTGGCCTCAAGCTGCCCAATAATTTTTTACTAGTTCACGTAACCCCTTACCTATGTGCCTGCCATCTTTGCTTTACATTTGTGGTAAGCGTTTGGGGAAGAGATCATCTTTCGGCTTTGTGCTTGAAGCACAGTGGGGTTTTGGCCTATATATTCAGGACCCCCAGGCTACGGTGACACTGGTAAAGTGCACCACTCACATCTCTCTCTCACACCTGCTGACCAGACCAATATCCCAAAAGCTGCAAGAAGTGCTGGAGAGAATGAGACACCTCTAAGGCAGATGCCTTATTATTCTTCAGCCATTAAAAGGCAAGCAGGGCTTACGGCATGCTCTAAACTAGGTCTGCAGCTGAGTAAATATTACAATTCACTCCAATGATAAGCATCTGTAGTATTTCTATGCACCCCTCTGTTCCAGGCAATGTTCAACTTCATGATAACAGGGGAAAAAACTCTCTGAATTAATCATATTGATTTGTGTGTATGCATAATCCTGCAGACTAAGGAAAGAAAAGCATTCTTCATGCTTGCCTTTGCTACTAGGTATTTTACTTGCAATGGGGCATTCTGCATGGCTGGTTCTTACAGATGCATGGCACATTAGCTATAGGAGAAGCAAAAAATTCATAAGCAGATTGCAGTTTCTACACACAAAGTGGAAAAGCAATGAGCCTAATGTCCTCCCCAGCGAATTGCTTTGTGCATATGTGCAGCACATGTGCAGTGTATGTGTATATTATCTTGCAGGAAACATGCAAGCCCTAACATGGGAAAAATTCAGTAATCTAAGTTCACTGTTGACATAAACGTTGAGACTGCTATCACACTAATGGAGTTGTGCTTGCTTATGCCAGCAGTGAATCTGGCCCTAGAACTTAAACCCACCCAAATCCCAGATAAATTGAGAGAAAGAGAACAAAAGTTGGCCTACATGCAACAGCATATTTTTCATGTTAAAAGCGTTTCATTCCCTTTCTCTCCCCACATAATACTGCATTGATGTCTGTGACCCATTGGAACGTAAATCAAAATGGATGTGCTAAAAGC